TGCATCCACAATGTTTCAGTTAAGGTGTGGAGAACATTTTAATTTGTGTAAAAAATCACACGCATAAAAAGATGCACGAAAGTAAGTTTTCCGAGTAACGTACTGAAACTTGAACATATCTCTAATTCTTTAGCTCTTAAGAGTAAATTTATCGAATCTAATTTCTATCAATATGTTACTAAGTGCCTTCACGGCAGGTCCCGAAATAGAATGGGATCCAAAATATGATTCTTATAATGGTTATTGCAAAAGTATTTTGCATATTGCACGCGAATGTACCTGTTACCGTAATAAGTAGGCACCTAGCGGTGTCAGCATAGCGCTAACCACAGCAGTGCTAATTATATTGGTACACACATCAAAACATACTGCACTTAGCATTGCCTTTTATCGACTGCGCTATTGTGGCCAACGATACCGGCTGAATATTTTTAACTAACGGTGCCAATTTGCATACACGATAAAGCTTATAGAGACCGCTCCTACCGCTAGGTCTCAGTGTTGCCAGCGAAATTTAATTACGCAACTAAGATGCCACACTGAGTGTTGTTTATTTTAACAAAAGGACTGCAATAAATTTCAAGTAGACTCCTGTATAGTCTCGCCAAAATACTGTCTACCGTCGAGCGATAATGAACAGGTTGTTTTTTTGGGGCACCATTTTCAAATAGCTAGAATACGTGTTTCGTTTTATCTTTTACTTTTTTATATATAAAAAGTAGGGTAATTGTGGAAATGAGACAATTTTACAAAAATAATTGTTAAAATTTTAAATAGAATTAATTAATTGAAAAATGTAGAGTTACTTAGCAATTAATACGGCTATTTAAGAAAAAAAGAAGTTTGACACCTGTTTGCTATAAGTAGTAAATGCATTGCATTTTTAGATTGATTCAGAGACCTCACTTGTAAATACTTAATCTAAAAATATCGCATAATAAAATCGATGATTTTATAATCGCGTGCACCGATGCAACTGCGCGTAATCGATTGTCTGCCGTATAAAAGTGGGTCAGCACAAATTGAAAGGAACCACGGAATGCAAGCATATATGTTTAGGGTAACCATGTTGTAATTAACATGGACCTTTGTAAAATTTTAGCTTTAATTAGAGTTTCCAAATATATACCTATGTATATGGCATTTTCTAGACTCAAACGATTACTTTATAGACAAATATGGTATAAAGTAATTGTTTACTATATACTGTCCGTTTGCTTTATTGAAGGGTTAGTAAAAATAGAATCGGTCTCCAACGTGAAGTGAACCAATCGAATACGATTATAAGTTTGTTGTTGATAAAGACCACAATGATAAAGATAAATTGTGAATCAGAAATTTCATCGTGTAGTTTTAAAAACTTATGTAAAAATAATATACAAATAATTTAATATATCTAACAAATAATTTGATATACTTGCTCAATCGTATGTCCACGTCAAGTTTCCAAAGAGTAAAATGTTATAAATTATTTTATATATATATATATATATATATATATATATATATATATATATATATATATATATATATATATATAAATATATATATTATTGTTACATAAACCAGTACTAATATTTTTTATTGACAATTCTTCTTTTTTTTTACTTAATCCAGTGCTTGACTACAATCCCGACTGACGATAAGCGTTAATGAAGCCAATATTATACGTTTTGAAGACATCAAGATGGATAACGCAAGGAAAGACAGTCGGCAACAAATTATTTCACGTCCTTGCTCTACTAATACAATACGTATTATACGTCCTTGACATACTAAAGTTATACTAATACAATACAATACTAATACACAAAAGATGACGCAAAACGTTTGGTTCGAATGCGTCAAATATCGATTGTTAATATTTAAAGCAAAGATGTTCAGACTATCCCGTTTTCACGAGCAGCGTGGTTTTACGATTATACAGGGACGTATTTAGCTATACTAACTTAGGGAGTTGCATGAATCGCCTTTGTACTCCGTCCGTTTTAATAAATCTTACGAAGTAACGATTTTTGCAGCAACGATGTCTAGTCACATTTTTAATGTTTTTAACGGTTATAATGATTTTCACACGACTTCAAAAAAAGGAGATTCTTAATTCGACTGTATTTTTTTTTGTGTGTTACCTTAGAATTTTTTTCCAGGTGGTCCCATATAACAATGATCAAGATCTGACCAACAGTTTTTGAGTTATCCTTAATAATGCGTATTTAATTGACTTCGTCTTCATGATGATGTTCTCATTTTATTTATATTGAAGTCTGTGGTACAAAATTTTTAATTTTATTACTTGTCTATTAACGTGTTGACCTATTTATGCTAGTTAGTAACATTTTTTATATTCTCAGTACTTCATAATTTATAATAATTTATAAATAATATTGTACAGTTATATTTAAGACGTTCTAATTGTTGTAGTAATGGAATACTAGTTAAGAGCTCGCCGAACTCTGGCTTTACTTTCTACTTAGTCTTTTCACATTACCCCTCTTAGACATGTCTAGCTTATCAAATATCTTAGCATAAAAGAAAAGAAAAATGTAGTATTAACAGAAAAAGATAATTATGAGAGACAAAAATCGACCCCACATATTAATTACCCTCCAGTGAACTGTGAGATAATTTTTTTTAATAATAATATTTAAAAAAAATGATGCGTCAGTGTGAGTATTCGTAACGAAGTTACAGAAATATGACTTAGCTATTAAAAAGCGAAATATGGTCGCTGTCACATTAAGGCACGAAAATTTATTATATATACGTTTAAAAAATATTGCTTTCAGTTAAGATTTCATTAACCATAATACAAGAAGCCCTCCAATCTCTAAGTTATAAAGCTTTAAAGATATTCGTTTTACGATTATACCCAAAATGACAATAAATATATACGCTAGGAAAAGCAAACGTTCAAAATAGTTCACTATATTATTAACAGAACGATGTTTACAACCCATTGCAAATGCAAAGAAATAAAATAAGAGGCAATGTTAGTTTGGACTAGAATATAAATAACATGGGTAAACAATATTAGATCGCAAGTCGCAACGTAGCATATTACCGCACAGTGGGCAAACGGTAAGGCTACAAGCTAACCTAACCAAGTAGATCGTAATAAAATCACAGTTACAAAATTGATACTACAAAGAACCTAGTCGCGGAGCAGGTATAGAGTGCACTGCATAAAGAACCTACCGTATCGGAAAATGTCTTTATAGGGCTTGTGATGTGACATTTCCACCCGGTCTTTGTTGCGTTGCGGAATGCATTTTACAACGATAACACAGTTTACTGTCTTCTTTACTTGTCAGAGGATATAATTTGCTCCTCCTAAGAACTCAGATTGCTTTATCAATATGGGTACGGCAGTGCAGATTAAGGGTTTTGTTCATTTGCCTATAATGGTGCTACCGTTATAGGCAAATGGTATATATAGTAGCTTTCAAGTCACATTGTGTTAAGTGGTGCTATGTACTTTTAATGGTCTTGAATATAATGCTATCTGCGTCACTAAAACACTTAGAAACTCTTTCTGAATTTGCGTCCTATTTCTTTATTATCCTATTTTTCCGAGAGGGTTTTTGATGTCGAAAAGATTTCGCTGCTTTACTTTATTGCTTTTTGGCGGATTTTATTTATTTATTTATTTATTTATTTAAGCTTTATTTGCACACATACAAGAAATGTACAAAACGGCGGACTTAATGCCTAAAGGCATTCTCTACCAGTCTACCTTTGGTTTGTGCAGAGAATCTAGTGATGGGTGCAAAACTCATAATTAAAAAAAAATTAAAAAAATTAAAGGTTTAAGGAAAAAAAAATACAAAATTATAATATAATGATAATAAATACAATACACATACATATACATTTACATTACTACTTACATGCATACAATAGTATTTTATACCTGTACACAAATACCCACAATAAATACATACACAGTAAATAAATATGATATTTTTATATTATACATATTTGAGAATATAACAGTTTCCGAGGTTCTTTAAATTTTTTATTATTATCCGAAACTACTGCTGCTTCGTTAAGTAATATTCCCAGATCAAACGTTTAAAGATAGGTTTAGTTTTTGCTTCTTTTATATTTCTGGGTAACATGTTCCAGAGTCTTACTGCATTTGAAGTGAAAGAATTGTAAGAGAAGCCCGTGCGACAGAAAGGAACATGAAGAGTTAGATTTTCCGCGGAACGGAGACATCGGTTGTGAGAATCGTCCTGGAGGCCTACTCTCTTTCTCCGAAACGAAACTTCGTTAACGAACGAAATTTAAACGAAGTTTCGTGTCTGACCCTACTCTATATCATTTTCGGACGCGCACGCAAAGTTCGAGTCCAAAGACAATTTTCGTGAACGAATGGAACGAACAATGTTATGTATTTTACGAATTTATTAAAATATAATCGTGGTTTTTTATGCATATTATTCCAAAAAATCTTACACAAGCAATAAATATACAAGTTTTCGAAGAAAATCACAGTGACACTAAAATAACCCTTTCAATGACCGTTAACCGACTAAGTTAAGGTGTACAATAATAACAAACGGTATTTATAGTATCGTATAACAACCAAACATATCCGTATTATCACAATGCTGTCAGTCATCACTTGTGGATTTTTTGTTTGCATTCTTTGAAAGTTTGAATAGTTTTAAGTTTGTTTCTCAAGCTCAAGTGTAAGACGTAGGTAGAGATTCTTTCCTGTGTGCTCAAGTGAAGAGTTATTAATATGTTTTGTTTTTTTCTTTGCCTACTTTGCAAACGCGATACACATTCCCTGACAAAGTTTCAATTTCAAGTCGCAGTCTTCATATGGGCGTCCTTTGGTCCACAAAGACTTCTATTTGGTTTAATTTGGTTTTATATTCAGAAAGAGTGTAAGTAATGTTAATTGTTTTGCACTTATAATACTTCCATAACATATTTTTTTGTAATAATAGGTACCTATAATTTATTTTCATCTCATCTTTCAGTGTAAAATAATGGCTCCACATACGGGTTCGGCTACTCCTGAACAAATTGATGCACTCCTCAATTTCCTGGACGAGCATAGGGATCTTGCTCGCGGGAGATTGAGGAGTCTAGAAGGAAAAGTCCAGGCGAAGAGGCTGTGGGATGAATTGTGCAATACGCTCAATTCCATTGGCGGTTGCATAAAGACAGTTCAGCAGTGGCAAAAGGTAATTCGTAGTAATATAATTAAATGCTTAAGCTATTTATCAGTGAAAAGTGAGTGACAAAGATTTAATATTTACTTTTATTTTGGATAGGTATGGTTTGATAGAAAACATCTGGCCAAAAAAGCCGCTGCTGATTCCCGGAGGTCGGCTTCAATGACTGGAGGTGGTCCATCAGTGGCACCCCAACTCTCCCATTCGGAATTAAAAGTATTATCCATAATGGGAGATGGGTTCGGTGACCGCCAAATTGGAGCCAGAGTGCCAGCTTTCACTGAAGTAAGTACCTCATCATTCTTTGGTTTCCCTATTTCTAAACTTTGATATGTTCAAATATTTATCTTAATGATATATGATTTTTATTTACAAAATTATTTTTCTATGTGAGTATGCTACTTTTTTTAACCCATCAGGTAAAAATACAATACAATTTGTATTGTGGTAGACATTAAAAATTAATACTTCACTTAAACCTTAAGCATTCAATCTTTTATATTCATTTCAGACGAATGAATCCAGACCATCAACCTACAGTCAAGGAAGCCAACTGCAGCAGCAGAGCCTGGACTTGCATGTAGAAGTTGAGGAGTACGCCGACCCAAGCAAAGAAAGCCAGCAGGTCTACTCTAATTCAAGGAAAAACGAAATTTCGATCGAAATTGATACACAAGAAGGTATGTATGGATGTATTTGATACATGAAGGTCTTACCACTAAACTACAGTCGAGATTAAAATTACAAGAAAAATATTGTTTGTCACAAAAAATATACTTATTGATTAAGTATTTACTGCAATGTAACATATTGGAATGTTGTTTTGCAGCCTCACAATCTGCACGTCCCAGAAGAATACGATCTGCTGCTGGCTCCGATGTCAGAAGCAGGTTGTACCAGTATGAAGATGGACGTGCAGAGAGAGAGACAGTGAGGAACACCGAGCTCGCAGGCATCAGGGCTGCCTTGGAAGAGTTGCGTGACATAGGGCGAGATTATTTAGAGTTTTTAAGGCAAAATAGGCGTTAGGTTTTAAATAAATTTATTTTTGAATACTATTGTTTCTTTTTACTATTTTTGAGACTATTTGTACTTTCAGATTAAGAAAGCTAAAATAAGAACTTTATTATTACTGAGAGTTGATTATCATGACCATAATTCGATATAATATAAAGATACTGTTAAGTATTTAAAATCATAGAAGTTATTATTTTCTCTGTATGTGACAAAATATAGTCATAGGTAAGGATTAAGTAAATATTTGTTGCCATTTTATGAACATCTAGGTAGGTAGGATAACGATAAGTAGGTGAAAAAATAAAACAGAACTAATTTTATGCCTAAAAATATTTTAATCTAGGCTGTTACAAGCACTTGTGAATGTCAAAGAAGCTACGCCATCGGTTCTCAAACCCTAAGCGGGAGACCTTGTAACGAGAAGAACCGGCAAGAAACTCGTTAAGGGCTGATTTTTTTCTCCTTGTATATTTCATACAGAGTCATCAAATTTGTAAAATGACCTTTAAGGTAATGTAATTTTACATCACAAAAATTAACAAAAGTTTACATACACTGGGCAGGTATTGAAATTAATTATCTACACATCGGAAAGGTAAGAGAAAATAACTTTCAACTAGTTGAGAAAACACTGTCTACTAGGCACCTACTCGAAAATTCATACCTAAATAGATAATGTTGTACAATATGCAATATTAACTAAATTCATTAGACATAAAAGTTAACATTAAAAAAAACGCATTGCTTACAATTATAACAAGATAAGAAGTGTATGTTTTAGGTAAGAAGTGAGTGTCATACATTTCAGTAATATTAATTCCTAATCCTATAATATTATAAATGAGAAAGTATGGATTTTGATTGTTACTTAATCACAAATAAACGGCTTAAATGTGGCTGATATGATGATGATGATGATTATCTCCTAAAACAAAAAAAAGTTTTTAATTGAGTTTATTTTAATCTACTTGCACAATTGTTTGGTTTGAGTTTATCTTACCGGTTCCTTTCTAACATTTGTATTAATGAATTCCTTGCCCTTCGACCTGCCTGTAGAGCTTGAGTAGAAGATGCGGCTGTTTCAAAGGGAACCTGCCTGGTTCTCTCCGATTGGTGTTCCTCTTCAGTCAACTCGGGACCTTCAATACCAGCCCTTATACACATGTTGTGTAAAACACAGCAGGCTAATATAATTTTACCTGCTGTTTCTGGGCAGTAATGGAGTTCCCTAGCTGCCAAAAGACATCTCCATCGACCCTTCAATACACCAAATGTGCGTTCTATGGTGCAGCGTACACGTTTTTGGAGGTAATTGTACCTTCCCTCTGGAGAGTTCTCAACAGCATTATCTACAGGTGTCATCATATGCTCCCTTAGAGCATAACCAGAATCACCTAAAAATTTAAAAATATAATATTAGTGTAAATTGCATCATCACATTACTTACACATAATGAATATCAAAACTATAAATCAAGACATGCCTAATAGATAAACTGTTTCATCCTGGAGACCCTCCAAGTGGTTTCTTATCTCACATTCCCTCCAAATATAAGCGTCGTGAGTTGCTCCACCATATGAAGCATCAACATTTGTAATTAATAAATCACTGTCACATATCTGAAAAAGAATTTCCATCAATGTAACATAGGATAAAATGTAAGTAATAAAATAGTGAACGTCATAATAAAAACATTAAAATATTGTACATAAACTTACAACTTGAGTATTAATCGAATGAAAATGTTTTCGATTAAAATATCGTTCCTCGTGCTCCGAAGGCCTCACTATGGCTACATGTGAACAATCGATGCACCCCACCACAGCGGGTAGCCCATATTTATCATAAAATCTACAATAAGGATACAATATTATTATAGAATAGTAAATTGTACAATAAAATTATATTTGTTTTTGCATGACTTATTTGCCTAGTCTTGGCACACTTTTTATGTAAATTGTTCATTTAAAATAACAGAATAATATTTTAATTACTAGGTATTTCACATGTTAATAAGTTTAACGGTCAATACTAGATAGGAAGGTAAGTACTTACTTCTGCTTAATAAGATTCCTTTCATTCCTATTTTGTGGGAATCTTATGTGCTTCCTTAGTATGTGAGGTGCATTAAGTGCAGTTGTTACCTCTTGTAAACAACGGGACACTGTCTGTTGTGCCATGGGCCCATCCATATTTTGTCCCACTGACCCCTGGTAACTTCCTCGGGCATAAAAGTTCAAAGCAGTAAGTATCTGAAATACATTAACACAGATTGAGGCTTATGAACAGTAAAATGAAAAATTAAAGAGAAGGTTTAAACAATTTAAACTTACTTTAAGTGTGGGCTCGATTCCATGTCGTCTTCCCTTTGGAGGCAATAAAGGCACTATGTCCTGGCACAACTCCTCGAATAATTCCCGACTGAGTCTGTAATTTCCGACAAACTCTAGATCGGGAATATTTGAAATATTTAATTGATTACGCAGGCGGCGCCGGTTCCTTCTACGCTCCAATCGTTCTTCACGTAAAGCAGCCGCGATTAAAAGCTGTCTCGTAGCCATTTTAGTTAAATTTTTAACAAAATCGACCAAAACGAAAATAAAAAGTTAACACTTTTGGTTTCGTCAATTTGAGGTTAAAATTACGAACAAGTATCTGTCAAACTTCAATTTTCGTTCGTAACTTTAGTGCAATAGAGTAGGCTTAGAGAATTTAAACGTCAAACTAATTTCGTTTCAACGAAGTTTCGAATCGAATGGAACCATGGTAGGAATTGAGCGAAATTTCGATCGAAATTTCGTTTTTCGTTGAATTAGAGTAGACCTCCTGATACTGAAATTTGCATTTCAGATATGCAGGGACAGACGGATCGTGTAAAATAGAGAATAGCATAGAAAGGATTCTAAAAGATCTACGAAGTGGAAGAGGCAGCCATTTGAGCTGAGAACGGAATGAAGAAACGTGATCGAATTTACGTAAGCCAAAGATAAAGCGAATACAATTATTGAGAAGACGATCCAGTTTGTTAAGAAGTTCTTGAGAGGCATCAGCATAGCATACATCTGCATAATCTAGTATTGGTAATACGAGCGTTTGAACCAACATTACCTTTGTTCTCACTGGAAGAAAATTCTTGAGTCGATACAGACAACGCAAGGTGTTGATAACTTTTTTGCTTACTTCCGTGACTTGCGGCCGCCAACTTAGACTGCTGTCAATGATAAGTCCTAGATTTTTCACAGTAGCTGAATAAGGTATGACAGCATTATTAAAATTTACAGGTGGCAGTGAATTAAAATCCAATGCAGATAAGCGACGGCTACTTCCAACTATAATTGCCTGGCACTTGGTAGGGTTAACAGTAATACCGAATTTGCTAGACCAATCAGAGATACGAGAGAGGTCAGAGTTTAGCTCAGTGATCGCATCTTCGATATCGTTAACATCAGACTGAGCATATATTTGTAAGTCATCGGCATAGAGATGGTACGTGCAGCGAATGTGAGATGTAATTAGATTTATAAAAATTGAAAACAAAAGAGGTGAGAGAATTCCGCCTTGAGGAACGCCAGCAACCAGCGTGCACCAGTCAGAAATAACTGGACCCACGCGAACAGCCTGCTGACGTCCCTGAAGATAGGATGCGAACCATTCCCGCGCTGATGAGGAGAAACCAATGTGAGAAAGTATTGTAAGAAGAATGTCATGATCAACAGCATTAAAAGCGTTTGAGAAATCTATTAAGACTAACACAGTTAATTTTGACTCCTCCATACCTATACGTAAATCTTCCGTAACTTTAAGCAGGGCTGTTGTCGTACTATGTCCTGGCCTGAAACCTGATTGATAGCTACTTAAAAAGTTATTTTTAAAGACGTAGTCAGAAATTTGTCTGTGAGCAACAGCTTCAAGTACTTTTGATAAAAAAGGAAGAATAGAGATAGGACGGAAGTGAGAAACAGAACTAGGATTATTTATTTTTGGAAGTGGGAGAACAAAAGCATTTCGCCATAGTGAAGGAAAAACCCCAGTATTTAATGAAAAATTTACTATGTGGGTAAGTACTGGTAAGACATAATCGAGGATGAGATTGATCATGATTCTGCTCACATCATCAGAGCCTACTGCGGCGGACTTGATGGAAGAAATTGACTTTTTTATATCCTCATCAGTAACGGGAGAAAAATTGAAAGAGCTTTTGTAAAATTTTGGAAGAGAATTAACATGGGCAATAGTAGTAGATTTAATTGACGAATGCAGCTGTGGTGCAGTAGAAAAGTATGTATTAAGTTGATTAACAGAGAAGATTGAAGGATCAAAGTTAGAAGCAGGTTTACCTATCCCGATTGATTTTAAAAATTTCCACGAATCAGCCATAGAAGCGTTAAGGATATTTCGATGAATATAACGGCGTTTAGCGGCCCGCACCATCTGATTACACCGATTCCTAGCGGCTTTGAATCGAGTCCAGTTAGCAGTACACCGATTACTCTTATATTTACTAAATTCTCGATCGCGCTTTGCCATAGCCCTGCGGATATCCTCAGTAATCCACGGCGCAGGAGATCGTTTCAGTCTGACTTTGTGTGGAGGAGCGTGTTTATCAAACAACTTCTGTATATTTGAATTAAAAAGAGCTACTTTTTCGTCAACACTCTCCACACTGAAAGTATCACTCCAATCTATACTACAAGCACCTTGCTGAAGTTCTTCAACATTAAGTCTCGCTAGATTACGCAGATGCACCGTCACATGATTGACCTTAGGACATTTAATCCTATATGAAATATACAGTAAATCGTGCTGCGAAAACCCAGGGGCGGAGAGTTGACCGTGGCCAACGACATGGTCTTCAGAAGCGACCACTATTAAATCTATTAAAGAATCAGCAGTATCAAGATTGTGGTGTGTGGGGTCGAGAGGAAGAAGTGACAAATTAAAGGAGTTCATAACTGTATACAATTCACGTGACCTCGCTGAGTTACAGAGAATATCGGTATTGAAGTCTCCCA